TAATTGACCTTCTCTCGTTCATCCTTGAAAGGCTTGATCTTCGCTTCTTAGGCATCTTTATCCCTTAAAATAAAGAACATGTGCTATTGAACTCATTAGCATACCTTATTCATATATTTACACACATATCCTGTTGGGAGGACTCTGTGGGAGGACTCTGGGGGAGGACTCCTGGTTGGGAGGACTGACAAACACCAGACAGACATTTTGTCTTTATTAGTATGAATGCTTAATTAAAGCCCCCTTTTTTTGATATATTTTTTAATAGAGTATCAACGATAGGAGATCCTCAATAAAAAATATGCCCATGACACTCTCCCTTGCAAGACCTTTCCGATGAGGTATAAATCATGTCTCTACGTCAATCATTCATTGCGTTCTTGGTGGACAATGACATTTTGTCTTTATTAGTATAAATGGCCACCCATGATATCACATGCCACAGAATTATCACATGAAAAACAGACAGTCACACCACTTTACAGTATATTGTGTGAAGTGCTATATGATATTTTGGTGATGTGATAAAACACTATATTGAATGTCTGGGCTAATTATATAATAATAATAATCCTACCACTTTCGGTATATAACAACAACAAAATTACATTTGTATAGCGCCTTTCACATTGGGAGGACATCCCAAGGTGCTATAGTGTTTTTTCACGTCATTGAGACAACAACAACAATAAAATTACATTTGTAAAGCACCTTTCACGTCAGGAGGACATCCCAAGGCGCTGGACAGACAGAGTTATGAACCCGAGCTGGGGTAGGGGTGGGGGAGGGAGGAGGGTAGGGGTGGAAGCAGGGAGATCAAAAGTAGTCGAAGAAGAGGGTCTTGAGGTGGGTAACGGAGGGGGCAAGACCATGGGTCTGTGGGATGGAGTTCCAGAGGGTGGAGGCAGAGTGGCGGAAGGCCCGCCAGCCAATAGTGGGGTGAGCAAGATGGGGACGTGAAGCAGGCCAGAGTCCGCTGAATGGAGGGAGCGAACAGGACGGTAGCAGGTTAGGAGATCGCAGAGATAGGGGGGAGCAAGACCGTGGAGGGCTTTGAGGTAAGGACCAAGATCTTGAACTGTATCCTCTGTGTGATGGGAAGCCAGTGGAGTTGGGTGAGGATGGGGGTGATAGGGTCGCGGAGCCTAGAGCAGGAGAGGACACGGGCTGCAGAGTTCTGGATGATCTGCAGCCTGTGTAGGGAGGAGTTGGGGAGACCGACAAGCAGTGAGTTTGCATAGTCGAGCCTCGATGTAATGAAGGTGTGTATGAAGGTTTCGGTGGTTTGCAGTGTGAGACTCCCAGTGAAATGATCAACAATCCACCAGATAGCAATGGTGGTTCACTTCATAGTAGCTTGTGAGGTATTGCTATGCAACGTGCAAATTGGATGCTGGGTTTGCCCACTGTCGTAAATTCCTGTGAAGCGTTTTGCTAAATGTTTCAAAGTAGGAAATATTAGATAAATGCATTATTTTAATGCATAGTGACTGTGCATTTAGTCACTAAGATGATATCATGTACCAGATATGAGAAGTTGTAGTTATGTGGAAAAGTTTGAATTGTTTTGACTGGAGCACAGACGTTAAGAGAAAATTTTAGAGGTTTTCAGGATGATGAATGGTTTTGAAAGGGTAAATAAACTGAGGGTATTTCCACTGACCAGTGAATCATCAACAAGAGGGGGAAGTTAGAAGATTTTTTTTACATGGAGGTTGTTGGAAATATGGAATATTTTACCACAAGTTACTATTGAAGCCAAGTCCCACAACATTTCAAAAGGGAATATGTTTTTTGGTCAGCCGGGTGTCTGACACATGCAGAAACCCATCACCGTGCGTGCTTAAGAGTATCCAAACCAAACTGACATTTCCATGCATCCCACCTACACATGGAAATGTCAGAGATAGATTGTTAGAATGGAATGCACACTCTCTCCCTGGAGGGAACCATTATGTTTACCTAATTCCGGAAAGCATTAGATGCAGTTTGGTAAGAGCCAAGACTAGTGGACCCAAGTTTGTGGTGGGGAACTGCAGGACATGGAGGAAATAACAAGAGAATGGAGTAGAAGAAGTTTTAATCAGCATTTTACTCATTTCATGGGGTCTATGGGGTCCTGACTGAGAGGATTTAAATGCATATTTGGACATTCAAGAGGAGAAGGGTGTCCTGGCCAACAATCCCTCAAGTAAATTGGTCAATCGCCTCATGGCTGTTTGTGGACATTCCTGTGTGCATATTGGCTGCCACTTTCAGCTGCAAAATACAGTCACTGCGTTTCACAGAGAATTGTAAGAAAGGACTGGATGAAAAGATTCCGTTTGATCTCACCCTTTGCCTACAAAATAGGCTTTCACGTATAAAATACACATTACACATTTCAGTAAAAGTCCCCATCACAAGAACAGCATCAATCAAATATAAGGATTCTTTATTATTAAAAGCCAATAGTGTCATTGTTTCTTATTTTTTTAAATTGTTTAGTATTTATTAAAAATAATAATAATACTTGCTTTTGGACATAGTGCCTTATCATGCTGTTGAGATGTCTCAAATCACTTCACAGAATATAGTGTATAATATATTGACAGTATGAATTGACTTAAAACATTTTTAATACTTTATTATTTTTATTTATTTATTGTTTAAAAAATGTTTTTAATGTATTTTTATTTATTTATATATATTTATTAAATCCATTCATGCTGTCAATTACCCTCTGGGTAAAGTGATTGGTTTTGGAAAAATGAATAGAGACTACAAATCATACCCTAAGACAGGGATGGTCAACCCATAGGTCCCAAGTTGGCCATCCTTGAGATATTAACTGAAAATTATAGTTTATTGTCTGAGTTTGTAAAGAATTCTTGATATTTATTTTGTGCGTGGTAACAAACAACCACACGTTTAATTTTTCTGGAGCCTGCTGTGATCCTGCATTTCTTCACACCCTGTTGGACCAAGTACAGATCACGTGAAACTGAAGAAATGTAACTCCAAATTCACAATGAAAATATTGCTAAAAAGGAAAATAGTTTGCAGCAAGCCTACATTTATTGATCATTAAATGCATTGAATTTAATTAATAATAAACCTTGCATTTGATATACCATCTGATCCTGTCATTGAGACATCTCAAAGCTCTTTATAGGATTTTATTGTGAATTTTACTGTGTAGTTGTAGGCAAATGTGGCAGGTAATTTGCACTCAGCAATTTCTCACAAATAGCCACTAAGTGAATGATTGATTTTATCTGGTGGTTTGTTGGCCAGGAGAAACCCCCTTCTCTTTTAGAATAGTGATATTGGATTTTTAACATCCGCTTGAATTGGCAGACGGGACCTCAGTTTCATCCAAAGGACAGCACCTCTGACAATGTCGCACTGCCAACACTGTATTGTAGCATCAGCCTAGTCTGTGAGTTCAAAGTCCTGATGTGGTGCTTGAACCCACAACCTTCTGACTCAATATTTCAAACCAAGCACTGTCAAATAGCAATGACAGACGGATCTCTTTTGATCTGTAGAGGCAAACCTAACACAACAAAGAAGAAGCTACAGTGTGCCTTGGTCCTACAACAGAATGACACCCACTCATTTCTCATTCCCAGGATAAACTCACTTCATTGCCTGACACAATAGGAACTTTGTTTATTATATGAAAAGAACTTTTCCTTTTGTTCGAAACACTTAGTTCTTGAATGATTCAAGCACACAATGATTACTTTATATCATACCAGCTTAATTTAAGATTCCAATTCTGTACTCTGCCACCAAAACATTAGCAACAACTTGATATATATATATATATATATATAGCGCCCCTCGTGCAGGGTAGAGTCCCAGAGCACTTGACAGTGGTGATACTGAGCTGGGAAAAGGGGGGATGTGACTGTAGGCAGAAGAGGAAGATCTTCAGGCGTGATCTGAAGATGGGAAAGGAAGGGACAAGGCAGAGGGATAGAGGAATGAAGGAAGAGTTCAAAACAAACCATTTGGTGCAATTTGAGTTGAAAATAGAAATGGTGAACTGAAGTTTATGGGTCAGTGAACATAAGAATATGCGGAGAAACAATCTTGTGAACTATAGAACTGTAAGTTGCCAGTTCTTTGGTGGTCAACTCTGAATAAATGCATGCTCGCTCCAAAACTTAATTCAAAATCTGATATATAAGATCACTTCTTATTTCTTTGCATTTTACAGACCTTCTGTTTCACTGTAAAATATTCACTATTTCTATTTTTTAATAAAAACACTCGTGGCAAGATATAGTCCACCAATTGTCACATTTCATTAAGAGTGCTATTCAGCAATCGATTTTAGCAATCATTTCCATTGAAGAAGTGATTTGTTGAATGATAAGATTTATTATATTTTTGCGCAAAGCTATTGAATAAATGATTGAGGTATAAAGGCTGCAGAGTGGCCAATTTTCCCCTGCCCTCTGTATGATCCAAGAAGCAAACTGGTGCTGGATTCTTGAGTATTAACTGCATTTTTTTAACTTGGTATATCTTTCCTGATATTTTATTGACGACAAGTTGAATCCATTAACTGCTCATGGAATGCAGCTTCGGTGAAGTGTAACACTTCAGTAGAAATACAATAAGATTTTTAAAAAATGTTTGTGTTTGTATAGCTCCTTCATGTTGGTAGGACAATGGGACTGTTTCAGGTCCAATCTAACGTGCAGTGGCCGTGTATTTTATCACTCAGGTGATATGAAAAGTTCTGTTTACATGGATAGTTTGAAATGTTATTACTCGAGTATAGTACATTAAGGGAAAAGTTAAGAAGTATTAAAACTAAAGAATAATATTTTTCCTCCAGTAACTATAGCACCATGTCCAGTTGGTTTCAGTATGCAAATACAGAGGATATTTGAACTGACCGACACTGTATTGTCAGAGGCGGTGTCTTCCAGATGAAACATTAAATCAAGGTCCCCTCTGTCTGTTCAGGTGGATGTTAAAGATCCTTTGGCACTATTCAAGAGTTCCATAGCTCAATGGTTAGAGCACTCGCCTATCAAGCGAGAGACCTGGGTTCAATTCTCAGCAGAGCGAAATGTTGGGCAAGTTTCCTTACTCTACACTCCTCTGTTCCAGCGCCTTGGGACGTCCTCCTGACGTGAAAGGCGCTTTATAAATGGAATCTTGTTGTTGTTGTTGTTGTTGTTTACCTAGCAGGAGATAGGAACCTATTTGTTAGTTGATTGGCGGATCACTTTTCCGGCGGTAAAAAAGATAATAAATTGGTCTCTTCAATCCACGACTGTTTGTGGGACAATGCTGTGCACAATTGGCTGCCGCGTTTTGCCCACAAAGTATCCAGTTAATTCACTTTACAATATATTCTCTGAAGCACTTTGAGGCGTCTCAAAGATGTGATAAGGCACTGTATCAAATGCAAGGATTATTATTATTGTAACAGTGGGAATTTCCCCTGGTATCCCTGGTATTCCCTAGATAAAATTGATCATTCACTGCATGGCTGTTTGTGGGACATTACTGTGCACAAAATTGGCCGCTGAATTTGCCTACAAAAATACACTGTCATTACACTTCATAGTAATTCCTGGGAAGTGCTTTGAGACGTCCTCCTGATGTGAAAGATGCTTTATCAAATTCAAGGATTATTTTTAAATGATTTACATGTCACTATAAGCAATATACATTGGAAAGGTGACAGCGTAGCACTCACAAGGGATTGCAAATTGACAAATATGGGAATTGTCAAACCTTATCACTAATTTCACTAATGGCAGGATTGGTGAAACGAGTCTTTGTTTGAGGAAAGCTGTGCTTAAATCCTTATTTTCTGATGGCTCTATCAACTAAGATTAAAAGTATACTTTCATGACAGACAATGCTACTTGTTACACTTCCATTTCATGAAGTGCTGCACAGAGAAGATAGTCAACCTGGCTCAGGTGGTTGAAAAAAATGACCAAAGGTCCATTTAGCAACCTTTGCAAAGGAATGATCCCTAAAGATACAAGGACCTGAAGTGCTAGAACAACACTTGTGAGAAATTCAAACAGAGACGTACAATAGACAACTGGACATGGATGTTAGATGAACAACTTTCAATACATGGAGGCAGCAAGAGCAGAGGGGAGAGGGTCAGGATTGTAAAGGGCAACTTTAGGGCAGACACCAGGAACTATTTCTTTACGCAAAAGCTTGATAACAGCTGGAACTAGTTATCTTTTCCAGGAACCTGTTCAGTTGTGGAATGCCGAAAAAGATCCTCCTGAATGACCTTTAATAAGAATTTTACAGGCTACATAATCTTTCTTCACTCCACACACTGTTTATTTGAGTCCCATTAAAAAACAACTGATTAGCATAGAAGAAGAATTCCTTCCCTCCATCCGTGGCCCCGTCCCCCAGTTGACATATGCGCACATACTTCCAATATATGTGGTATGGATATAATTGAACTCAGAATGGTTTGGACATTCATAAGCATTGTGATGGGTTCCTCCATTGGGCAATTGCACTGTTAACAGATGTAATTGATGCATCACCATCCATTTATCTATCATATTAGAGCCTTGTCATGAGGTATAGTAAAACACAATACCAATTTGTCTGTTGTTTATTTAAATTCTGGCTTCTTGGGTATATTCATGATGTGGGACTTTCTTTGAAAAAGTACTTTGTAGTGAAGATAAGCACGGTTACATTGTTAGTCATTAATCACTTCAGGATTTCAGCATTTCCTTAGGATGTGGGCTGTGAGCCATCGACAACATGTGGTCCACAATTATCCTCTGCTCATATCTACCTCATGATGCACGGAGTGACAAAGACAATGTGAAATACTTACCCACAAAAACATGTTTTCCACTCTTGTAGGTGGCTGGCTCGGGCAATTCCTGGATTTGTAGCAGATGTCATGTATTGAAGCAAACAAACCCAGCTGTTATAGCATTTAACTATTAAATGATTTGCAATAATTAATTAACAGTTGCGTCTGCTGGTTTGGTTTGCAGTATCTGCCACCTCTCGTTTTAGAGACACTGATTTCATTGTTTTGCACGGACTTAGAAACTGATGCACCTATTTGTAATATTAGTATTAAAATGGAATACATCTAGAATGAGGGATCAAGCAGAAGGATAGCTGAAAGTCTAACCTCAGGGATCTGGGTCTGAATCTTCAATTTCTGCATGAAATGGGTTTTGATTCAGTTCCCATTAGGTTTGAGTTTATAGCACAAATTAAATTCACGGTCAGCCTTCAAAGGGTAAAAGTCAAAGCCTTCATAAATATACACAGCTCCTTAATTATTTCCAGTAATAATTCATAAAGGAATGGAATGCATTTAGGAATACCACAATTGTGACCACATTTATGTATTGTGATACAATTTTCCATCATTTTAGTAAGGAGGGCCACATGCATTGACTGATCCAGTTAATTCCAGTAATTATAGCAAAATGTCCATGTGTTAAATATGCCATTTGATTTGATTTTTCCACGGAAAAGAATGGAAAGCAGAGTCACGAATTTATATTTATGAAACTAAGCAATGCAATTCTAGGAAATTGAATATTTTCAACTTTTAGCATCAGCGTTAGTTTCAGGGCTGTCTAGGTCACATCAGCGTAGTTTAAATGTAAAGCTCCCTCGATACCACTTACATTTCAACTCTACCTCCCAATGTACTTACAACAATCTGTCAGGTGCTGCACCAATACTTCCTGGCATTTCCAGACTTTCTAACTAAAGAATTCCTGTTAAAGTCTTTTAGTGCTGAATTGCAGGCAGGTTTATACTATGCACTTGAGTCTTGTACAAACTAGAAGAAATTCCACCTGGTTCTAGATTCACTTTATAAATGTAACATTTCCCAGCAAATTCTTAAATACAGCCTTATCAAGCAAATTGGGCAAATTTTTAACTACAATCTTAGTTTTGGAGCTGAATTTCTGTAAACTCTTTTAAAAGTTGATGTTACCTCTAGGTGAGCAACAGGAGACATGTAAATTGTTGGCAGGCTAGTGAATACATTCAAAACCTAATAAAAATTGGAGCTATCATAGAGCAGGAGAACAGCAGAAGAATTATTTTTAGGGTCAGCCGGGTGTCTGACACACATGAAAAGCCATTACGATGCTTAAGAGCATCCAAACCAAGCTGAGATTTCCATGCATCCCAACTGCATATGAAAATCCCATCGATTGATTGATGGAATGTGCACTTTCTCTCTCTAGGGATGCACCTAATTATAAAGACGGCAGTAGGAATCTCACCTCACACTGCCTTCCCAACCATCACACCACAGTTCAGTAAAAAGCTAACCCGATCAAAAGGTTAAAAGTCTACCAGATGAATCTATGCAGCAATGCACGATTGGGAATGTCTACATAATCTTGGTACCTGCCACATTTTTTTAAAAAAGTGCAAGTCAAAAGCATGGGTGCAAGAGTGAGGGAGAGAGGAGAAATGACCTGATCAGACAAGAATTTGCCCCCAAAAAGCAAATCTCACAGGAACACAGAAGGGCTCAAAACTTACATTTGCTTATATTTCAGTTGATTGGGTCTGTTATTTTCTTTGTAAGGGAATTGCGCAAAGAAAATAATAACGATTCTCATAATTATTAATAATCATCACACTATTACAGAATATCTGGCTAAATTGTACCCTTTGAGTGTATCTTCAAGGAAGAAATGAATTGAGGTGTAACCGTAACATTGGGTTTCAGGCACTCCACAACATGCAACTGGATGGCACTACCAACACATACTTTAAAAAGTATCAGAAGGGCAGGCTGGCCTAATGGATAAAGTTGCTTCTGACAGATCAGGAACTCACTCATTCGAATCCCGGCCATGGCTGAGTTTGTTGCTCTCAGCCGGGCCTGCATAAGGAAAGCTAAATTGACCCCCGGGGTAATGTCAGATAAGGCTCCTTCTCCTGCTTCCTCTACAGTAGCCTCTACTGGTTGTTTGTGTGTGCGTTGGGGGTGGGGGGAGAAGGTGGCTATCACATGGGGGAGAGGTCAGGTTCAGTTCTTCTGCAGTCGAATGGCCGACACTCATTGGCAAGGCTCACACACGAACATTGGTCTCTTAAGCAGGATACCAGAGGGCAACCATTGTCTGTGGAACCTCAGGCTGCCCAGTGGAGATAGCAACAACCAACAAGTATTGAGGAAACAGACTGGACTGCATGGGAAAGATCAGAGAATTTCAACTGTGGGCCTCGACTGCAACTGGACAAATGCCGATTAAATTCAATGAAGCAAAAGATAAGCAGAAGAACAAGAGATTAAATACAATACAAAATTAAATTTGTAAAGAGCCTTTCACATGGGGAGGACATCACGAACAGTTAGGGATTAGGACCTGAGCGGTGTAGGGGCAGTTGGGATCAGGGAGGGTGAAGGGCAGAGAGGGTGACCAAAGGCATGGTCGAAGAGGAGAGTTTTGAGGCATGCCTTGAAGGAGGCAAGGGAGGGAGTGAGGCAAAGGGAATGTGCGATGACGTTCCAGAGGTTGGGGACAGAGATGCTGAAGGCTCGACCGCCGATGGTGGGGCGGGCTGGCAGGAAACATGGAGAAGGCTGGAGCCTGCTGAGCAGAGGGAGCGGACAGTTGATAAGGGGTTAGCAGATAAGAGAGATAGGAAGGGGCAAGGCCGTGGAGGGCCTTGAAGGTCAGGACGAGGATTTTGAACTCAATCCTCTGAGGGATGGGAAATCAATGGAGCCAGGCATGGGTGGGTGTGATGGGATCACGGAACCTGTGCAGGAGAGGACACGAGCTGCAGAGTTCTGGTTGATCTGCAGATTGTGGAGGGAAGAATTGGGAAGGCCGACAAGTAAGGCGTTGGCATAGTCCAGCTTGGATGTAATGAAGGTAGGTATGAGGGCCTGAGGAGTGAGGCAGTGGCAGAGTCGGGCAATGTTGTGGAGGTGGGGGAAAGCAGAGCGGGTCATTGCACAGATGTGGGAGACAGTTGAAGGTTAAACAAGATGGCTAGGTTCCCGACTGACTTGGTCAGGTGGAATGTGCATCTGTGGATGCTGACGCTGCCAGTGCCTGCGGTGCGG